CTCTTTGAAAATGTGCAAGTTACAAGATGCAAGGCTGAATCTTCTCCTTCTGGAACAATCCATGAAGGTCTCTTCAGGCCTTGAGGAAACAAGTTCCAGAGACCTACAAGTGGACAAATCATCATCATTGAGCACCTTGTCAAGTAGACTGATGATGCCTAAGGCTATTGGGGAGAATACGGCACCAAAGTCAACCTTAACATCAGCATCAAAGCTGACACCAACACCTCCAGGATCAAACTTGGGGACTGAAAGGGTCCACTCCAAGTGCTGACGCAGAAGCTTAAGAAGGAGCTCAGTGTTCTCCCACTAGGACAGGCATAACAAGGCCACCAGACAGAAGTCCTCTAAGCCACCCATGGCATTGAGGGCTGGAGAGAAGGAGCAGCCTGCAACACAGTAGACTCTGCTAGCACTGATGCTGGCTCCGATGCTTCCTGCTGCATTGACTCGAGCCTTAGGGCAGGCCCAGATCCACCGAGATACCTACTGGAACCACTACAGACCTGAGGACACCTTACACGTTGGCACTGCCTCTAGTGGAGACCTGTTCCTCTTCACAGTCAGCAGGACATATGTTCTCCCTGTTATTGAACACAGAACCTTTCCCCCTAAAATCTGCAGTTGATGCTGCCCAGAGACCTACGCATTTCTCCTACAGGTCTTAGCTGCCATCAGCCCTCCAAGAATGGCATTGGTCAAGTCAGCATCCAGCAAGTTAGGTGTACTCCAGTGGTATGCCACTGTAGCTTTATTGGGGCATGCCATCACAGGCATTGAGAAGCCAGTCTCCATCACTGAGGTAGAGATCTCTCTCGTCACCAGCATCCCTGAACAGGGGAGGAGCCAGATTGATGGGCAGAGCAACATAATGCCTCATCTCACCACCAAAGGATCTCTTTATTTCATCACTGGACAGAGTGATATCCTTTGCATTGCTACTGGCACTGGATGACTATAAAGCGTTTCAGGAGCTGCTTGTGAGGAGTGCCAAGACATTAGAGATCAAAACAGTGATCACCACAGAGAAGTCCCACAGGCTGCGGGACATCCTGTCCACTTCTGGTCCATGCTCTTCAGCTTCATTGCAAATATATGTGGCTAATTGCCAGTCCTTACTGGCTAAGCATGACTTTCTCAATTAGGATAGAGTGCCTCTGTCATGGACTGCCCGATTGTGCCATCTTCTGGTTAAACATGGTGCAGCAGGCAATCCCTGCCTCAGTTTTCTTCTCTGGTGGCTCCCCTTTCCTGCACAGCTCAGAGTTGGTGATGTGGCTTGGCCCTCCAGCCAAGTCCATTAAGCAAATTTAACTCCTGGGAAAACAAAAGTCCAACTGAAAGTCCAAACAAAAGGTTCTTCCACCCTCTTTGGGCTACTCTCCAGCCTGCCTCCTGGGCTAATTTTTCAGTTCTTTCCTTGCTCCATTGTAGAGCACTGACTCCCATGCTGCTTTCCCTGGAATCCCTCTGACAGGAGTTTCCTGATTTCTGCAGACCCTGCCTCAGGGCCTTCCACATGAGCCCAACCTGCTCCCAGTAATTCCTCTCTCTGAGTTTCATCAACCTTTTTTATGATCATTAGGTGATCACCTGATTCCATCCTCTCAGGCTAGGAGTCAGCTAATTATGGCACAGGCAGGGCTGAGATTTTTGTTTTTAAAGAAACCTGCACAGGTAGACTGGGCCCTGATTCCCCTTAAAGGGGACAGCCACTCTGATAGACTCCCTTCCTAGCAGAGCTCCCTCATGACAAGAGAGAGCAGCCTAAAGACATAATTAAGGCAGACCAACTACTGGTCAAGACAGGCTTACAGTGTCAATGGATGTCTCAGACACCATGGCCAGATGTATGGCCACCATCATGACCATGCAGCAGGTATCATGGCTCCAAGCATCAGGCATCCCAGGAGAAGTACCGGCCACTATCAAGGACTTCCCTTAGAAGACTAGAACTGTTCACAAAGTGGACTGACTAACAGCACTCTTCACTTGCTGAAGGACTCAGAAGCTATTCTACTCGCCTTGGGGATTTACATCTCTACACCATACCTCCAGTACTACTGTCCTCAGTCACAGCAGGGACCATGCACTCCATCCTACCCTCCCAGACACACTGAGTATCATGCCAAGAAGTGTGTGAGATACAACAGGCGACATCAGCCTTTCTTCTCATCAGCAACCCATCTCGCTCCTAGGACTCATCAGCAGATTTGACAGGATGGTCAAGGGGCACATTGGACTCTGTCTCTAGAGCACCATCTTTGGTGCTCCCGATTCCCAGGAGAGGTCCATCTTGCAGCAATATCAGTGTATCATGACTGGATGCAGTCACACACTCTCTTTTCACATCTAATGGTATTGAAATTCCTTAAGGGCCTCCTTCACACCCTGGAGGTAGAGACCCAGCTTCCTCAGGGGATGTTAATGTTGTCCTCAGGAAGTTCATGGAGCCTCTCGTTGAGCCACTACCAGAATGTTTCATACACCACCTCACCATCAAGACTATCGTTCTGATGGCCATTGTGTCAGCTCAGAGTCAGCAAGCTCTAGGGTCTCATGGTTGGACCACCTTTGGACATAGAGAAAAGGTAGTGTTGAGACTACACCCCAAGTTCAAGACAACCTCAGAGACAGACTTTCACTTGAACCTTGCCAGTCTTCTTCCTGAAGCCATACTTGATACCCAGAGAGAAGAAACTGCCTATCCTGACTTATCCAGAGGTTTGCTGTATTATCTTAATAGGACCAAGCCATTTCAGTGGTCTCCTCCTCACCCCTTTGTAGCAACTTCTGGTCCAACCAAAGGCCAAGCCATCTCTTTGCAGAGATTCTCCCAAGTGAATCACACAGTACATTTCAATCTGCCATCAGCTGGCTGGTTAACCTATCCCTTCGAATATCAAGGCACATTGTTCCAGAACACAGGCTGCATCTATTGCCTGCTTCAGAAACATTCCAGTCTCTGAGCTCTGCAAGGTTGCAACGTGGAGTAACCCACTGACTTTTGTGAAACATTATGCCCATGACGTGGCTGCCAAATTAGGTGCCAAGTTCAGGTGAGCAGTACGTCAATCATTGTTTGAATGATTCAGCTGATATTCCTCACTCCCACCATCCAGGGAGGACTCTGCTTGCCAGTCACCTACAGTGGGATCCATATTGACACATATTCTTAAGAAGAACCACAGTTACTGTAAGGTAAGTAACTGTTCTTTAGAATACACACTTCAGGGTGAAAATGCTGTGAATTGTTTTCCAGCTGAATAGGAACAAGAGTTTTTATAGAAATACAACTTTTGGTTTTGTCATGGTTTCAATCCCTTAGGGATAACCAATGTCCAGAAACTGGAGCAGATAGAAACAATTAACAAAGTCCCTGTTTAGGAATTAACTAATTAACCAGGTTCCCCCATCTGGTAGCTGGACTAGTTGAGTATGCATCTTGAGCACTACTGCAACTAAGACATGAATCATGAGCCTTGTGGACCATAGGAAGTAGCCCCACCAGCTGATCCAAAAGATATTCTCCCCTTTGACTGAGATGGTAAGAGGTGTTCAGTACTTGTCTCAGCAGGAAGCTGCTGTTGGTAGATCTTGAAATGTGTAGACAATTCATTTAATGGAAAAAGCAAATCATTAATGGTGTAGAGTTAGAAGTCAGAATTGATTTGATTTAAATTAACAATGGTAGACTTGTGTGGCGTTAAATCATTTCCTGTACTTTGAATGTTAGCCTGAACTGAAACACCAGAATGAATCTAAATACATCAAAATAGCATTTGTTGCTTTATTACCAATTTGCAATATTACAAGGATAATCCAATAATATATTAAAAACCCTACTTTCATTTATATACAACACATGCTACATCAGGCATCATCAGTTTTTAATGCACATCATACATTTGTAAAGAAACAATGAGGTAATAAGGGAAGAGAGCAAGAGCTTTTTTTGTTTTTCTCAGACATTCTTTCACTAAATTTTATGGTTTTCACTGTAGTTTCTAATTTGCAACAATTATCTATTCTACATATCTACCTCAGCAGAATTCTAAAATTCTCCAAGTTTCCACAATTGATTTTATTTATAAATATGAGTGAGTAATTCTCTTTAATATGTTGACACACAATATACTCATTAATAATTGTGAAATATGGTAAATATAATTGTTCTTGGTTACAAATATTTTCTTCCAAGAATCTTAATCTTGTGGCTAAGGACATTAAACAGAATATAGATCGGTATCCATCATTTGCCTGCAAAGTTGGATAGCCCCTTTAATTTGTAGCCATTTTCTGATTACAGTGGCTACACAGCAGGTAATGACGTAGCTCAGGTATAAAATAATGTTAAATATTTAGGCTATTATTTTATATGAACATTAACATTATTCATGTTGGCTATATAATATGCAATAGCCATTATAAGTTTGGATTACTTTATAAATACATGTAGGCAGTTCAATTTAAAAACACTCATTTTCCTTCCTTGATCAAAAATGTTTGTATCAGAGGTCAGTTTTGAGAATGATGGCATGTATATTAAGAGAAAAGTGAGAGTGAAGGACTGGATTAATCATTATGGTAACTATTTGGGTGTCTGCCCACAAACTGAAATGATTTAGTGATTTGTTTTATCTGACAATTAACAAAAATTAAATTAGGAATAATCCCACTAATACCCTACAGTACATATACAAGCTACATAGTTTCAAAGGATGTGATTTCCTGTGTCAAATGATCCCTACTAATAAGAATAAAACTCTTGCTGTACAGATTGTATTGTATTTGAGAATATTTATACATAATACAACATACAAAATATTTAGATGCTGTAGCAATATTTTTAGCATCTAGACTTAATTTACAGGGAATAAAACCCAGAAGTGTTATCTACAGTCCATCTTAACTCCCAGTTCTAGAAACAGGAACCTTAATTATTTTTGGTACAAAGAAAGATGATCTGAAAGTTTATTATATCACTTAAATTGTATGTTTTTGCTGGAATGAATGTTGAAAATACAATATACAAGTCCTCACATTTTAGCAATAAATGTACAATATCTTACATTCCTTTCTGCTATAAAGACCTATTCCGGATAGCACATGGAGCTATTACTGCCATTTCATCATTCTGTTTTAAATAGCAAATTAAAAGAGGAAAAAATTCTTTCAGTGGAATGTGTTGGGGTTAGGCCTGATCATCATAACAACTTTCTTTAGTGAATATGATCCGCCGCGGAACTCAGCCCAGTAAACACCATCCTGATATCGACTACGATAGTGTCCTCCCCGATACCAGACTCCATTGAGGTTTGAGTGAGCACAGGCATTGTACCACCATCCTCCTTTCTGGTAGTGAGCACAGTTACCTATAATGAAAAGCAGACTGTTATTGAGTATAGAAAATGAAAATCTTGCAATGAGCAGACTAGCAAAACTTTCATAAAACAGTTTTAATGTCTGTATATTTTTAAATCTATCAATCTGATGATGTAAGCAGCAAGGCACACAAAACCTTCCTTTTACTGTCCTCAATCCTGCAATCAAAACCATGCAAGTGGACTCTTCAGTGGAGCTCCACTTTAGTACAAGATTCACCTGCAAGGATCCAGTTTCAGGATCTGGGCCTTAATTTTTAAAATAACATCAAATATTTAAACTAAAAAGTTTCTTTTGTCATCTGTCAATGAAAATCATTAGATTACCGGATTAATTTGTGTATCATCAGAGTGGTTTGTTTTTCGCTTTTGTAAATGTTTTTAATTATATGTTTAAATGTAATTTTCTATCATTTCGTTCTGTGACTTGCCATTTTCCTTAGTTTTTTTTTCTTTTTAAACACTTCATACCTGTGTATACATCATGGTCTCTATCCAGTGTGGTGAACTGCTTCCCGTTGTGCCAAGTGAAAGAATCCCCAGCATTGCCATTGTAACGACCCAGTCTCAACTTGTAATATTCACTCTCTGGCTCCAGTCTGAAACTGGCATATTCAGCAAATACTTTTCGACCTGACCAGTCTTCCATTGTTACAAGCAGTTTGTAGTTGCCTTGATTTGTTAGCCAATAAATATTTTCTAAACCCAGCCAGTACTCTCCATCTATGTTACCAAATCCTTGCTGTGAAGAAATAGTGACAAATAGATTACTGTTGCAGACCGTTTTACTTTTAAATCTGAATGCATCCTTAACCATGGCACCTTGATAATGACTACATGGGCATATTTTGAAATTCCAGTGCAACTTCACCTTGGCCCTAAGTATGTTTCAGCACTTGACACCACTACAAAATTTTTCAGAGGAAGGTACAAGAGATCATGTAGTGAACACTCATGGAATAATCTGTCTATTGGGAAGTTTCTTGCCAACCTATCAGTTAGTGGTTGGTTTATAACCTGAAGCATAAGTGTATACTCCTTATAAAAGTAGTTATATCCTATCTACCATAGCGGTGGATGGTCTCATTATTCACATATGTCTAGTTATTTTTTCAGTCCTACTAAGCTCTTAACTCTAAGGGCTGGTCTACACTGGGGCGGGGGGGAGAATCGATCCAAGATACGCAACTTCAGCAACGCGAATAGCGTAGCTGAAGTCGAAGTATCTTGGATCGAATTACCTGGGGTCCACACGGCGTGGGATCGACGGCCGCGGCTCCCCCGTCGACTGCACTACCGCTGCTCGCTCTGGTGGAGTTCCGGAATCGACGGTGAGCGCATTCGAGGATCGATATATCGCGTCTTAACGAGACGTGATATATCGATCCCGGATAAATCGATTGCTACCCGCCGATACGGCGGGTAGTGAAGACGTACCCTAAATCTCCCATTAAGACAGGAAGAGAAAACAAGCTTCATTTGTCCTAACCTTGTAAGTATCCCAGTTCCTGAAAAAGTTGACTGATCCATCGAGTCGTCTCTGAATGACGGTCCAGCCACCAGGGTCATGTCGTTGGTCACACCAGACCTGCATAAGTCGATTTGTATTTTCAGGTTTCACAAGATAGATGGAACTGGTGTCATGGCCATCTTCTAATGCCTGTAGACAGTCTTTCCACGGTCCTGTTTTAAAATAGAAACACTATGCATTCAGAAAATAATTGTGCTTGTTGACTTTGTCTTCTGGAAATATTTGAATGTGGAACATTTTTTTCCTGGCATGTACTAGACATGCTTCTGCCAAGTATTATGCATAACTGTTTTCCTAAAAAACACATATTTTCACCTTTGCATATGGAAGGTATAATGTCCAGTAGTGAGCTTGCACAGACCTGGGCTTCATTTGGTTTCACGAGGTTCTTGAGCCCTTTTACTTAATTTATTCCTTGGCAAACCATATTGTGTGTGTTGTTTACACAGTGTATTAATTTATTGACCTTGGCTGCCTGCATGTTTTCATTATGCAGTATACAAAACATGGCAGATTACACAATCTATTTTTTAAATCATAACCATACTTTTTAGTCTTATTCAGCATAAAGGATACTTGGAATTGCGGAAGACTAAATAGTAGTAGAAGTGCAATTATAAAGGAAGAAAATACTTCTAGTATGTTCAGACTTGCATGCACGCTGGTGATTTGGATTTAATAGTGTGATGAAGGGATGCATAGTGTAAAGTATGGAGTGTAGGTTTAAAGTATGGAGCATGACATTGTTCTACCACCTGGCAAAAAGAATTCACAGTATCCAAGTAAGGTAGGAGAAAGATATTCATTACAAATGCAGATGCAGTCATATTTAGGGGGATAGTTCAGGGAAGGCAGAGTAGCAGGTAAGATCACTTGGAAGCACATGGGAAAGTCCCTTGCTCTTAAGCATAGGATTTGTGTGGTCAGGGAGACTGAGTCCCGTTAAGCATGTTCTTGTTTGAAGACTCCCCTCTGGATTGTGTCTTGTGGTGAAGTGTCTCTCTGAGATGTGACAGGTCAGAAATTTAGGAGTTAGCTGCTTTATGGTGTGTAAGCTAGTGGGCAAACTCAGTGGCTGGGTAAGGTAGAATAAAGTTCCCAACAACCATGTAGTCCAAGACCCTTTCTTCAAGGCTGAGTTTAGTTCAAACAAAAGCAAATTAATTCATAATACTGTGTACCATCCAGCCAGCTGGGAAGGGAGAGCGTATACCCCTTCCTGTTAGTAGCTGGGAACAGTGCTTAATTTTTGCTAGGGCTCTAGGCTTGGCAGTTCATAGCCCCAGCACCTCTGACAGTTATGAAAGTTAAAAAATTGCATGAGCCCTGGCACCTCTTTCATTACAAATTAAGTTCTGGTCTGGAAGGACTACTAATGGAGACACACACCCCTAGGACTTCCCTGACTCAGGGTTCTTCCTGTCTGCTGCCCTAGCCCTAGAGGAAAGAAGCCTTAAACCTGGTTTCTTATAGGTTACATGCTTGTATTAGCCATTTGCCTGCAGCTACAGCTCCCTCTTTTAAATGTCCAAAGAGTTGTAACAGGCACACTGGGATGCATGCATACACCCCAAAGCCTGGTGCCCTTTATACAGGCTAGAATTTTCAAAATCATCTAAGAAGTGACATAAGAGCACAGCTCCATTTGTTTCTGTGTCACTTAGGGCTGGTCCACACTAACCCCCCACTTCGAACTAAGATACGCAACTTCAGCTACGTTATTCACGTAGCTGAAGTCGAACTATCTTAGTTCGAACTTACCGCGAGTCCACACACGGCAGGCAGGCTCCCCCGTCGACTCCGCGTACTCCTCTCGCGGAGCAGGAGTACCGGCGTCGACGGCGAGCAGAAGATCGATTGCTTACCGCCGGACCCGGAGGTAAGTATAGACGTACCCTTAGACACTTTTGAAAATTGCAACTATAGGTTTTAAAAAACAAAATAAGGGAAAATAGCTGTTAAATACAGGAAAAAACTTTACTTGTACTTTTTAAATTAACTTTTTACTATATAGATTTTGTCTTTAAAACATTTGAGAGAAATCTCAGGATAATGAATGTCTGGAAATATATAACAGACTGTAAAGTAAAACAAAAATAGATTTAAAAAACATCCTGTGTGGAAAGACTGTCATTCCTTTAAAATATTATCTGATTTCCTAAGGGGGCACCATCTGAGTGCCCAGGAAGGAAAAAAATTGATTGGTAAAAAGTGCCCAGTAGAATTCTGGATTTTTTTGTTGATCCTTTTGCAAAAATTTAGTGTGAGCTAACTATGCCCATCTGAACACCTAGGTATGTTGCAAAAAGAAAATCAGAAACATTCATGAATCCAGGATCCACTTGCTTAGTAACTATATTTTGAATGTTAATATTTTGGTGCCTGCATAACATAATGGTGGAGATATTAGAAATGGCTGCATGGACAGCTTTGTTCAGTTGCTATGGTTATAGTGAGTGAGCTGATAGAAGGAAATGATAAAACTGTTATCAGTAAGTAACTGGTCCGGATCAATTTTAAGGGAACTGAGGAAGTATTATAGTACAAGAATGTTTGATCAACATTTGTAAAGAGGCCAGAACTGAGCTATGTAGTAGACAGACAGATCTTTTTCCTTTTAGTAATAAAACAGTCAAGTTGACTTCGGCTTCTATTCTGGATGGGGGATTTTCCAGCTGAGCTGCCCCCAAAAACATTGGCATGAAGATCAACAGTAGACTCAGCAATATAATATACCATTATAGATCATTAGCATTGCCACACTGATATCTGAAGGCAAGCAAAAAACAATTAATGGATCAAAAATGTGGTGTGATATACTCCATACACAGAGGAGAAAGAAAGCTACCCCATTTGCTGAGTGCAACACGTTGGTTTCAGGTATGGAGGCCATAAAGCAGCTATTTGTAAGAGATTAGACTTTTTTTTAAAGTTTCTAGCTCAAAGAAAATGTTTTCAGTGTGAAGGTACTCAGATTCCTCACTAATTGGTCTGGTATAAGAACCTAGATAGAATTTGTACAGCATTGTTTTCAGAAATCTTTAGATAGACAGCTCTAGTAGCTTTGCTACTGTGCTCATATTTTTGCCAAAAAAACAGAAAAGTTAAATTAACAAGACTCACGAGTCAGTGATCCCTTCAGAGTCCAGACTGAGAGAGAAAAGAGAGGATTTAGTAAGTATTCCTCTTTGGAATGATACTAAATTGTATGTTGCTATTATAATTAAACATAGTTTTAAGTTTATACAGAATAAATACTTCTGTTATAAAGACTTGCCATTGTTTTGCATGCATGTAAATAAGAAGATTATAACGAGTTAGCTTAGTTCACATTGTATCCCCTGTATTAACTCACTGCAAGTAGACTAGCAGTGGATAGTCTGTGCCACTTGTTCAATAAATTGTAGCTTAGTTTAGGTGAACTTTGTGATATTTTAAAAAACCTTTTGTAAATACTCAAGAATCCAATCTAAAGTGAGTGTTTGGGTTTTTTGGCCTGTGTCCAAGTTACTTGGTTTTTGTATTTCCCTTTGTCCTCAGCAGCATAGTCCTGTGAATAGAATGCTGCTTCTGAGCCCAATTTCCTTTGTTGCTGCAGATACAAGTACATGTTCTTGGCTGCTTAAATGAAGATGCAGCACTCTGTTTTAATATCTGTGTGTTATTGTGTTAAAATGCAGGAGACAGACGACATTGTATTTCTTTCCAATATCTGGTTCAACAAATTTAACTTGACTGTGTTTATTTTATTTCAACTTAAATACAGTGAGGTTTATAAGAAAGAAAAATACATGAGTTCTGAGCTGTTGTGGAACAAACTTCTGCAGGAACTGAGGACCATCACAAATTTTTGACCTTGCCTTCTTTCACAAACACATAGTATCATGACACTTAAAACAAACAACCCCTCCCCAACTAAACAAAAAAACAACAAACACAACTCTGCACACATAGTACTTCTCTAGGGAAGAGGATGAGAGAGAGATTAATCACATCACTGTAAAGAGCTCAGATACTAAGGTGATGAGAAAGGTATGAGAACCTGAATAGAATAGAATAATGCTTCCTCTCTCACTGTTACCAGTTAATCTTCAAAAATAGCTTGAGCTCCTGCGTCAAAGAGAGTGTTATGGTTTCAGACTAAGGGTACGTCTACACTACGGGATTAATCCGAATTTAGATAATTCGAATTTGGGAAACAGGTTGTATAAATTCGATTGTGCGCGGCCACACTAAGCACATTAATTCGGTTTTTAACCACATTAATTCGGTGGTGTGCGGCCACACTACCCCATTAATTTAACCACAGTAATTCGGTGGTGTGCGGCCACACTAACCCTAATTCGAATTAACAAAATCGATTTAGGCGCTACTCCGCTCGTCGAGGTGGAGTACAGAAATCGATTTTAAGTGCCCTTTAATTCGAATTAACTGGCTCTGTAGTGTGGACGGGTGAAGGGTTAATTCGGATTAACGCAGCTAAATCCGAATTAAAGTCGTAGTGTAGACCAGGCCAAGAAGGAAGGCAATTTAAAAAAACTCACTAAACAAGCTGTGTTTGGTCTCACTAATTTAAGTTTGCAGACTTGGGATTTTATAATCATGCAAATATGTACTTTCAAATAGATGTAAAAATCTATGTGTCAACAAAACATCTGCCAGTGCTGAGGTCTCTAGTATGATTCCTTTTAATTACTACTATTTAATTATTCTAATATAACAGATTTTTGGTTTGATATGGGAAATGCAGTGGTTTTGAACTATTTTTGCTTTTCTGCTATCATCCTACTGAAATCAGTGAAATGTAGGGATATGCCTGAAGTGATGGACATGACAACAGATATGTTCTACCTAGTGCTGTAAAATACTAAATGGTTAAACAGTAAGCATTAGTCTTACCAGTTAACTGACCCTAACTATTAACCCCCAGCCCTGGGCCGGCCGGCCAACCCCAGCCCCAGGCCACCCGACTGTCCGGCTGACCGCAGCCCCACGCTGGCCGGCCGACCCGCCAACTCCAGCCCCGCACTGGCCCGCCGACGCCAGCCCTGTGCCAAGCTGGCCGATGCCAGCCAACCCCAGCCCCGCGCGCCGGCCAGCCAGAGCAGCCCCAGCCATGCCGACCCTGCGCACTCGCCAGCTGGAGCGGCCC